CGAAGGTCACACAAAACCATGAATATTGGCTGGCACAACCCTTTTTTATTGTAATGATGTATTTGGCTTGATGTTAACTTTTCACTTATTAGATTTATATTATCTTTAACCTTTTTTTCTAATAATACCCTATTGATCACTAATAAATATTGGGGATCCACTTTTAACTCAATATCATTGGGGTCTGCGAAAAATAGATCCATGTAAGTCTTCTTAAACGTCATGGAACTACTCCTTTGAAAAGAGGTTTCTTTTTCTCCAGCCACTGAAGTCCAGCACGGTCATCGGGCCTCTCTCACTCACTCATTGATAGTCTCCAGGGCAGGTCCTCCAGTCACTGCTAGTGACAGTAACCAGCCGGATTTCAGTAATCAGGACTCATTGCCGGTGTTTAAAATAAAATCCAGTCTAAATCCAGTCTAAGACCTGACTGGTGTTAAGGGGTCTACAGTGGAGAAGAGAGGGCATGTTCATTTTTCTTCCTCCTCTTCTCTTGTTGATGTCCCCAGGATCTTGGCAGAAAAGACAGAATTAGACATAAAAGGATCAAAGCCTCATTCGTTAATATAGTTCTCACCCGTCCGTCATTGCTGCCCGTGGGGCAGGTGCCCCCTGCGGTTTTCTCTGTGGGTCATGTAGAAGTCTCCCATGGGAAAGCCCACGCTTCCCAGTCCCTGGAGCAGGCAGTACACTCTCTGGCTAACTCTTCGCACCCCAATCCCTACTGCCCCAGAGATCCGCCCCACAACCTCCTGTACTTCCGGGCACCCCTCTCCAGAACAGTCAGCCAATATCAGGCTCGGTCACATTGACAAGACTCATTCCTTTCTCGGCGTCCATTAGAACCGGGGCCGACTTGTTCAGTCCAATAAGGAAAGCACAGCTTGTCCAACAGAAACTTCTCTGCTTGACCTACCACATTGGGTAAGACTCGCCACTTCAGAATTCACTGGACAGAATCTGAGATCAGCTTCTCTGTTAGGCCAGATCCCAAATCTTGGGATCACATTAGAATCTGAGCCCAGCTGGTGTGGCTCAGTTATTGAGTGTCAGCCCATGAACCAGGAGGTCCCTGGTTCTATACCCAGTCAGGGTACATGCCCAGGGGTTGCGGGCTCAATCCCCATTTGGGGGTGTGCAGGAGGCAGCCAATCAATAGTTCTCTCTCGTTATTGATGCTTCCATCTCTCTAGCCCTTCCTCTCTCTCTAAAGTGTGTATGTGTATATATATATATATATATATTTACAGAACCCCAGAAAGCCCTTCCTCTCCTAGTGGCTGCATCAAAACTGAGTGTCTTCACCTCAGTGGCAAGCCTCTTGAGTAGAGTAGAATGTCCACCTCACTTTCCATACAGACACCCCCAACTTCTTACGTTGTTTTCTTGGCTCTCCCTCAGCAGCCTGAGAGAGGAAGGTAGGGTATCCCTCCCGCCTCCCCCAGGGGGTGAGGAGGCAGCCTGGAGACGCTTCTCTCCTGATTCCCTTCTTGCACTTGTTTTCCATTGACATTGGAAGTAGCCTGCAGAAGCCTCTGTGCCCACAGAAAGCGATGATGGATGGAGCAGAACAATGTTGATGAGACAGCGAAGAACCGGGATCTTCTCTTACATGGGTGGTCTTACCCAGATCTTCCCCGGAACATGGTCCTCGAGGTGAAAGGCTGGTTCTGTCCGTCTGTCAAGCCCTGCAGAGGTGTGTCTAGCAGCTTCGACAGAGATGTGCATCGCCTAGAATTTCCCTCCGCTGCTCTCATCACTCCCTGGTGCATCCTGTCCCGTCACTCCGTGGCCCCGTCATCTGTC